CTTCCAGATCCCGGCAAGGATGGCGGCGACCCGTGCACGAGAGATGGAGGTCTTCGATCAGATCCGGGTGAAAACCTGCTATTGGCTATTGCCAAGGCCGGCGATGGCGACGCTGTCTGCGTCGTTCCCTTTCTGAAGGCATCGTCGTGGAGATGTTCAAGGCCACTCTCTGCTACCTCCGGGGGAAACCCTAGATCAGTAGATCGGATGGCGGCGGCTCTCTGGTGTCGTCTTCCCCCCTGGGGGCGTCATTCTTGGAGGTGCACACGGGCTCGAGGGACTAGAGGACGGCGACGTTGGTGGAGCGGTGCTTCATCTTTCACATTGATGATGGCGGATCTCGGCGGCATGGTGCTGTGGAGACTCGGCGTCTGATGCGCGGAGATGGACTCGTGCAGGAGGAGGAAGCTGTCTGGCGTCATGGGGATGTCGATGGCAGACTGGCCAGACAAGGTAGAAGCCTCAATTTGATCTGAAGACAGACCTGTGGAAGATGGCGGCGACGACACACGAGTGCGTCTGACCGGATTGCGCCCCAGACCCAGTATGTGGCTCGGCTGGGGTTACCGAATGAGTTTCGGCTTCCGGCTTTTGATGTTAGGCTTAGGTGAGTGGTTTGGGTAGTGGCCCAGCTAGCACCCCCTCATCATATTGGATAGGAGTAGCGGCACATGTTGCCAAGATGGTGGATTCAGACACATTGTTGTAATACTTTGTATGGTTATCGAGAATAATCAATAAAGTGGCCGTATGTATCTCCCAGATGCAGAGGCCGGGGGTCATCCTCCTTTTCTAAAAAAAAATAAACCAATATTTCTGTTGCATCGTATCCTATATAGTTTTTTCGTGAGAATGATATTATTGACAGATTTATTAATGTATATGTCTATGTGGTGTGAGATATTAGCTTGGTTTGTCAGAATGTGTTTCTCCTTGACGCTAATTATAGATGTGCTTCCTGGTTTCAAAGAAGGACAGCAGAGAATGTCAGAGAAGGATCCACTGTCAGCTATTTTTATGGAAGACACTGAGGTTTTTCTCACAAAACTCATCTTTACTTCCTCCCAGCATTGCTATACTGAGCTCTTGATTAGTGGAAACATCCATGCCTAATGTTATGGTGTGCATTTTTTCTTCTTCCGTGGTGACAATAATTTCATGGCCAACTTGTTTATTGCAGTCTGAGGTTACGAAAAAGATAAAGAAGGCTTTCTGCCCTCCCAAGATTACTCAAGGAAACCCATGCTTGGAGTACGTAGAGCATATCGTTCTCCCTTGGTTTAGAGAGTTCGAGGTGGTCCCACCTGATGGCGGTAACAGGTAACAGTATTTTTTTTCCCCGAGGAACCAAAATATTTCCCTAAGAAAAACACTAGCAGAATATTGTATTGCTGCAAGCCTGCAACTGATGCAAGAGCTCTTGCAAACATCTGCCTACCGCAATACATGTCAAGAAAGAATCCAATGATATGGCACGATTTTGATGGCTGTGTTCAACTGTAACATCTGTTGTTTGCTCTTAAGCAGGACCTACGTAGGAATCGAAGAACTCCGCGAGGATTACGGCAGTGGCACTCTACATCCCCGTGATCTGAAACCTGCTCTTGCAAAAGCAATAAACCAGATATTGCAGGTAAGAGGCACCTCCCGGTTAATGTTTCTTTTGTAGTAGAACAGGGGGTAAAGTGGACTTGTTTGACAGTCATGTTCAGTTTATTCCATGCTTTTACTTTTATTCGAAAATACTTCTATACTACCTTAAAGATCTTACCAGTGCCTTATGTAAACAGCTTGTACGTGATCACTTCGAGAAAAATTGCGAAGCCAAAGGTCCGTGTGACGATGTAAAGGTACATGCCCCTTAAAACTCACTTGCATGAATGCTCACAATCATTTTGGTTGTCATCCGACAGAACTTCCATCCTCATGCATCATGCCTCCAAGGCCAATAAGCATTTTATTGTCAGTTTTAAAAAATAAGCATTTTATCTGATTTTCACGAACTCATTTCAGGTTTTAGTTGAATTGAGTTCTTGAATCATGCATTTTAGTAGCATTTGCTTGCTCTTTTGAGTATAATAGTGGTTACTCAAATCGAATTGCAATTTTTGTATTGTATACATCATGGCAAACATTGACAAATGTGCGACGAATTAACTTGGAACAATTACTGTTTTGCAGTGAGAGGAGCAACCAAGATAACCAAGAGCTTATGCGTGTTCTGGACACAATCATTTCTAGAGCTATGTGTACTTCAAACTATTGCAATCAAGATAACCAAGAACTACAGACATATTTTGGAAGAAACCGTTTTAGAAACTATGTATGGGTTTTTTCCAAGGAATTTTGTCTACTTTGAGCTACTCCTTCTGTATCAAAATATAAGACGTTTTTGGGTCTAAATCTTGACCCAAAAAGGTTTTATATTTTGATACAGATGGAGGATTTTCCATTACTGTGTCTGAATGACACTGAACACTTGCACAACTTCAAGTGGCTATCCAACTAAAAGCATTCTTTGGTGTATTCTTTAGATAAATCAGCATTTCTGCAAGAGCATGCTATGTTGACTGTATGTCCTTTGCTTTCAAGCATTGGTGTTCTAGTGTTAGTGCATCACATCTTTCAGATGAATTAAGAAGTCGGCAAACATGGTAGTGCTGAAGAAACATGTACTCTCTCTGTAAAGAAATATAAGATCATTTAGACCACTAAGATCATTTAGACCACTACTTTAGTGATCTAAATGATCTTATATTTCTCTACAGAGGTATGAAATAGGGAATGAGTAATAATTCAGCTTCAGTATGTCAAAATTCTAGCATGCCAAGGAGGTAAAAGGGGGATTAAAAATCAGCTAACTAATACTGTAACTTTGAGGAAGAGTAAACATAAACATGCAATGCAACTCCCCATGATTGCAGTAGTGCCCGTACTAGACACACCACTAGTGTGATCTTGACTCACGTGGCCGAAGTTGGGAC